AAAAGGCTCTTGGTCTTAATCACAATGCATAATTGTGTGCAAATACAATGAATTTTTCAAGAGTAAATCCACTTATCAAATTCAATTGTGGATTGACATGTTTGAGACCTTGCTTTTAATGGTGGTATGCGACATGTGTGTTGTAAAGAGAAGCAAGAGTAGAAGTTTATTCTCTCTTGAGAGAAACCCAACTATAATGACTAGTTGTTCATTATTAGTGTGGAGAACAAACTCAACATGGTTTGTGGCTTCCTGGTCTTAATTAATTGAGAATCAATTACATAATGAGCTTAGAAAGTTCTAGGATTTGGGTTTGAACCACTTAAATTTGATTCAAAGTAATTACATAGAAAGCTCAAAGAATATCAAGGACTTGGTTCGAACCATATTCATACGATTTGAACCATTTTTGATAAATTAGAAATTAAGGACTAAAATCTTGATTTGTCTCTCATAAAGAGATATTGACGCCATGAAATTGAAAAAGGGTTATTTAAAATAGTGGGAACAATCCCAAGGAAAATTTACAAGAAAAGGAAAGGGATGGGTATCAAATCCATTGGTAAAAGTCACACATGATGGAACCTCAACTTAACGCTTGATAAAAACTTCAAGTCTTAAGTTCAATGAGTAAAGTACATCATATGAATGTGACTGCAGCTACTTAATTTATAAATAATACCATCCCAAGTAGAAGAGTACTTGGTAACCATATGAAACAAAGTAGAGGTTGAGCTTTGCTTTTAATAGGTCCTATAACAACTTTCTATTAAAGTGCTTAGTGCAAGAGCACTTTTGATGGGATCTACTTATATGAGTGGAAGTGGTGCCGCTTCTAAGAGTTGGGACTTGACTCTAACAACACTCATGAAAAGGATATAGGACACATGACCAGTTTTTGTGTTAGTGATGTTGAATTCTTACTTTGGAAAGCTTGAAGTTTTGTGTGTGATAAGTGCCCATTTAGTCACTTAGAATCGTTGGTTCAAAGCATTAGTCCACCATTTAATTTTGACTAATTTGCCAACACATATTCATTAAGTGAAGGTTCAAATCACAAGATACCTTCATGGTATGCATAATATTTCCAAAACTATTAATGGGCTGTTCTATTTTGCAAATGGTGGGGGGATGTTGGAGAAATTTTCAAAATAGAGAAAGAAGACAATGGTTGGGAAAGGGCATAAATGAAAAGGTGTCTTTTCATGTTAAAACTCTTCAAATGGAAGAAACATATTTGAAAAGAGTTGTCTTTTATCAACAAACACTTATAGCCTATAAAAAGCCTTGTCTTCATCCTCTTGATATAGGGATTCCAATTTGGATAATACATACAACATCCTGGTGTTTTTTGATATAAAACAATCTTCTTTGGTGCAATAATTGTTATAGAAATCCTTATATGAAAGTGATAGTCTTGCTACTAGAAGTGGGATTCAATGGTTGGTTTCATCCATGCAAGACGTAATCAACAAGACTTCATTGTATCTTGTAGGTATTTTCAGTTAACCCCTTTGCATACCGAAATGGTGGGGCAAAAATATCCTAAAAGAAAGTGGCATTTGCAGTATGTTTTGAAGCCAATGATTTGTTTTTTTAGCCCCCAAGATCCAACAAATGCAGCTTTACCTAGCTCCATTATATTCCCCTTTCAAGTCTTGTGTTCCTACTTTTTCTTTCTAGATTTCCCCTGGTAGAATTTCTTCGCATGGGACCATAGAAATTCCTGCACCACACTTGTCACTTTTGTTGTCAAGATCCTGTATCCTTCTCATGGTCTCGGCCAAAAAGAAAATATCCTCACTAACCAGCCAACTCCTAATATCAAGTCGATTCCATAGCATTGATTAGCTTAATCACGCTGTTGATTATTTTGATTAAATTGCTCAAAGTCAATGAGAGTAGATCTAGCAGTGGAGGAAACAGAAAAGAACTGTTTAACCTAACAGATAATTGAGGGGGGCATTTGTAGCGAAAAGAAAAAAAGTACACCATATAAATTTCCTTTTCCTCAAAAAAAAAAAAAGTACACCATGGAAGAGGACCCGTTACTGATTACTTAATAATTAATTTTTATTAATTGTTTATTTTGATTGCTAACTAAGTTTTTTCTTCAGTTCTTTTTTTATTTTTATTTTTCTATTTGTTTGGTTTACATGATGTGGTTGGTGCCCATCTGAGATCTGACGGCTCTTGTTACTTCCAACCTACTTTGAAATTTTAGAGATTCATTCCAGTGTTTTTAAACCCGGCCAGCCCTGTCAGCCGAACAGGAGAATATGAATTTCAATCGATTGGAGAGCTTTTTCATATTCCAATTTGTTTTTGGATGAATACAAATACAAGCTGTCAGGGCTTTGCCCCAAAGTGTTCACACCATAATAATTTAATAATGTCGATACAATATTCAAGCTCTGCATAATTGCATTTCTTTCATGCCACCAAAATTGAATTGTCTGACGGTGACAACATCCCATCAAGTAAATCTGGCAAACGGAAGAAAATTATGTTCAGACCTGTTCCAGGTCTGCACTTGAATCCATTCCATTGATTGAAAAAAAAAAAGGTCATACAGGACCAATCAATCACCTCATCGATCATAATTGAATTTTAGAGAAGTAATTCTTCAAAAAAATGCAGACCAAAAAAAAAAAAAAATCTTCGTAAATACCTCTATCTTGACGTAGTTCTGCCATTAACTGAAACCAAGACTTCGATTTGATCAATTTGATCATTTGCTAATAAGCCCAACATAGAATACAAAAACTAACACAAAAAAAAGAATATGAGAATCAAATCCGTGATCATGAAAAAAACAGATACCATAATTTTCCTGTAGGCAGCTAACAATTAACAGAAAAACCTAGGATCCCATTTCCCATAGTATATAGTCCAAAAGCTAATATTTGAGGAAAAATAAAAGGAGAAAGAAATTGTAATCAAGCCAAACCCAATAAAAATGGTGGGCAGCGACCAACTCATTGACATTAGCAGCAATCTGAATCATCCTGAAAGGAAAATTGGAGGAGCCGTTAGTTTTGATTTTTTACATTTTTAAAGTTGCAAATTTCAGAAGGAACCCGCAAAGTCTAAAACAATAATATTAGTAATATAATACTAGAGAGAAGCCGACAGAGGAAGGCAAGCATATTCAAAAGTCTACAACGTTACACCTAATTAAAGCATTGTATTAATGTAGAACACGCGGTTTAGTTTGACGGTTGACCATCCCACCTCTGCTGCTTCCCCTGTTGTACCTGTCATTCTATCTCTTCTTTTATGTTTGCAGTCGCTGTCCCGCGCCGAACTTGAGTTATGTTCGGTCTGCCACTTTTCGGCCCAATAATTCACAAAGGCTCATGTTCAAGCGTCTGCAAGTGTGCCCTCCTGAACCTGTTTCTCCCACTATTCTCTCTGTAATTCTCAGTTATAGATATATGGGAGTTTCTTGATATCAACGACCGATGAGGAGTTCGCTCTTTACTTGGCTTTTCTTGATGCAATTCGCAGCAGTTTTCTTTGAGATCGATGTGGTTTTGGTTTCAGGTCAATGTCAAACAGACCAGCTGGGAATGTTGCTCCAATTGAAGAAGAAGCTAAATTTCAGTTCTACTTTGTCTGTTAAACTTGTGAAGTGGGATCAGCGTCAGGATTGCTGCAGTTGGGATGGTGTGAGATGCGACAGTGGAGGTTATGTTACCGGCCTTGATTTGAGCAACGAATGGATTGCCAATGGAATTGACAATTCAAGCAGTCTCTTCAATCTCCAGCATCTCCAGAGTCTAAATTTGGCATATAACCGCTTCAGCTCTGTATTTCCTTCCGGTTTTGACAAACTTGCAAATTTGAGACATCT